TTCCAGGGCAGAAAACAAGAAAGATGGATGTAAACGAATTAAGTTTTGTCTTCGGCAGACGATTCTTCCATTATTTGTCCGAAATTAATATTCTGCGTTCAGCAGTATAGGCTGAATACCAAATATTTGTATGTTGCATCTCTAATTTAGAAGCAGCAATTATTGTTTATTTTTTTAAATTTAATTTTTTTAATTATAATTTTACAGTGTTGAGCATCATCTTGTATGTCTTTACAATTTAAAAACTCCTTGAAAAAGTTGTTTTTTTTTTGCAATAACGGACCCTATTTGTACAAATTCATAAAAGCGGACCCTGGTTGAAAAAATGTGAATAATTTTTTTCACAATTTCACGAAAAACGGACCTTTCACAAAATGTCTGGACAGACCCCTGTTAATATGGCCAGCCTTCAAAGCTTAACATGGTGCGTAGCATTTTTAAAAAGTGCTTATTTTCGATTTTTAAAAGCCCTTAAAGTTGCTTTTTTCATTGGGTGTTTTTGAAAAGTGATAATTTTTTTTTCTTTCCTTTACCATGTATTCTGCAAAAGGGTGCTTTTCGCATTGTTTTGTTCAAAATTTTCACAATTCATTCACCCACAATCCAGTTTATGCTTACCGTCAGTCGGTAGGGTATGAAGGCGCTAATCGTTTTACATGTTGGATAAAATACTTGCGAGTCTGCATGTGCGCTTACTGAGCTGGGTTCGGTGAGATTCTTGCTCTTTCATGTGCTGCATTTTGCAAGATATTCAAAATGATGGGGGGGGGGGAGTATTTCACCCCTTCATCAGTTGTTGTTAGGCCACTGGGACCATGTCCAAGAGTTCATAGGTTTGATCCCAGGCCGGTTGAGTCACAGAGTCCTCCATGTTCCCATAACAAATCAAAACCTCTGGGGGTACTGATCTAGGAGATTCCTTGTCGTCTGGATTGGTTCAAATTTACAAGAATACGGAATTGAACATTAGTAGTCATGAACCCAAAATTGGGTCGGCTGTTCAACGACGAATGAAAAAAATCAATGGGATAAGTAAATAGGATAAGACTAGTTTAAAAGTAAAAGCACTTTAATGTGTAAAACGAAAGAAAAAAGCATTACTTAGCTATAACGAAGAAATCAGAATAACACTAAGACAACATTGTTTGTTAATGTCTCATATCTTGCATATTTATTATTATTATAGAATTATTATTTGTGGAAAAATTATTTTTTATAGAAAAACAATTGTAATTGAGAGCATTTTAAAAAAAAATCCAACAAATGTATCTATTTTGGTTTGCCTTAGATATTATAAGATTAAAGTTAATGCGATTCATAGAATTGTGTCATATAGATCTTCTAGTGTATGCAGATATTTTTACTCAAGCCCAAATGACATGCAAACATTTCAAAATTTCATATTTATGTTTATTTTAAAATGGCAGATTCCCATCAACATTTAAACTGAAAATCTGACATTTTTATGAGAAAAAACATTTTTGTTCTATTCAAACTAAAGTGTTTATGTAGAATTAATTTAATATTAAATTACATAGCAAAATAAAAGTAAATGTTTCTAAAGATTTTTTTTTTAAAAAAAATAACATACCTTGCCTTTTTTTAATCTAAGCCTATTTAAATTAAATTAGCCAACCATGATTTTTATACTCGTATTTTAGTAACATGATTAATTGCTTTTGTCTCTTTTGAAAGGCTGCTTCTATCTTAGTTTTGGATGAAATTGGTAAAATGGAATTGTTCAGCAAAACATTTTTAGAAGAGGTTAAGAAAGCATTTTCAAGGACAGATATAAGAATTTTAGCAACTATTCCTGTATCTAAGCAGCTGTCTTTTGTGAATGAATTGAGGGATCGAAAGGACTGTTTGTTGATTGAAGTAAGTTAATTTCATTTTCTGTGTTAATTGAAGTAAGTTAATTTCATTTTCTGATTTCTATGACCACCATAAATGTTTTTGGACTCCTATCATTGAAAATTATCTGTAACATTTAAGCACAAATCAATGTGTCTGCATTACAATGAAACAGAACATAATACTGTCAAGCCTCGTAGTCAATTTGTAGGGGAGGGGGCAGAAAATATGTTCATGTTAAAAGTAGCTCACATAATCAGTTAGGAAATTTTTTTATGAAAATTGTACAATGCATGGATATTTTCTATTATCTATATCTATTTGTGTTTTTTAAGCATAAATTTCTACTGTTAATATGCAAATTAATATATATTTCTTTTCAATAAAATTTCTTTTGTATTAAATTAACAACTTTGATACATTTTATCGGCATAAATACAACTAATTACTTTAAAAAATAAGGTTCTAACGGTTATAAACTTAAAAGAAGACCAAAATATTGTGGTTCAGATGTAATTCAAAAAGTATACTCACTTTCTCTGATCTTTGTACTTTGATTTACTTATATTTTCAGATTTTGTTGAAAACAAATAAATAAAAAGTTTATTGAAGAGTAATTAACCGATAGGAGTACACTGATTTTTTGCACAAATTAGAGAGAATTATTAACAAAATAATTGGTAATGCTCTCTGTTTTTGTTTTTATCAACTATATCAGAGTCTGTAATAAGTGCATGTGTTATTACATAATCATCTATAAAACATAGTCTTTAAAGATATTTATTCTGGAAACAAATTGTACGTTTGAACATCAACAACAAAATTGGTTTCTTCTAACAATCGACTTAGATATGATTTAAGACTTAGATATGCATATTGATATTAATTGACTTAGATATGAAAAATCCTTTTTTCTTTCTTTCTCCAAAACATTCGTGAATTGCTTCTGTAGAAATCATTTTTGAAGTCATTTTTGAAGCATTTTCATTTCTTACTTGAGTAAGAAAGGTAAGGTTATTTAATCAACAATTTTTTTAAAATTAATTTTTAACTGTGTGAGAAATATATTTTCAACGCATTTTTAGTTTATATTATTGGATATTGCATGATTTTCAAATGCATCTTATTAGTAAACAAGTATATACAAATAATTTATAATTTTTTTCATCTTAAAATAACACCCATTGCATGATATTTTACTCCGTATCTCTATATTATGCATAATTAACATTCTTATTTTATATTGAATCTTTTAGTATTGATCAAGAGGAAAAAATAAACTATTTAAATAAATTGTTGATTGTAACTAATTAATAACATACTGATGTTTGGCTTTTTATTGAATAATTTGATATCTCTTTTTCTTTTATTTAGGTATCAAGAGAAAATAGAAATAATTTAGAAAAAAGAATTGTTGACTGTTTACTAGAAAAATAATAAAAAATAGTAAGTCTTAGAATTCTGTCTTAGTTTTTGTTTCTCATTAATCCTTAAAAAACTTTATTATTAACTCTTAAATTGTAATATAATATATATTGATTTCTTATTTTTCTATGCATTTAATTTAATTTAACTCATTGAATTTTTTTCACGCTTTTTAATTTTAATCATGCAATTTTATTATTTTAAAATTATTTTCTGTTTTTACTCTCTAGTTAGACCAAATTTAATTCGTTGTTTATAAATACACATGTTGATGTAAACAGCCAAAATGATATGTACCTAATAGAAATATATGCATTATTTAAATCAATGTATTCACTTCAAATTTTATTTCAGACATTTGTAGTAAGTAACAAAAAGAACACATTCTTATTGCATAATTATATCAGTAAGTAACTATATTGTGTATAAAAAATTTTCTTTTTTAGTGCAAAATAAAACTAGTAAAAGGAAAGAAAAGTGATTTTTATTAATTTAAAGGTTAAATGTTTTTTTTTTCTCCAAAAATTGTGATAAATGAATTGGAGACTAATCAGAATATGTGACTAATCAAAATCCAAAAAATTCTCCCTATTTTTGAATTAGTCTCTCTTATCCGTGCACTAACTATTTAGCTTATATTAATGTAATTTTAGCCATCTAATGTACAATTTTGAAAAAATGCAATATGAGTTTTGAAATCACATGAACAAGTGTCAAATGACAAAAACATAATTACTTTATTTATTGTTTAGAAAGTAGTCTTCATAACTTATTGAATTATTTCACTAGTTTGTTCACACAAATAAACATAATGGAAAACTTAACAAAAATGTCATAAAATACATTATTATAATCTGTAGAGAAATTTGAAATATTTTATTCAAAAATTGTTATAAAATTTTCTTTGGAATATGAAGAAAATATAACTTGTGTTGATTATTGATTAACACTAGATTGCCTATGGTAGTCATTTTGACTGCTTTTTAGTTTCAATTAGAAAAACAATTACGTATATAATGACAATTTCTTATAATTTTGTGCAACATATAATTTTTTTATTGTTAATATTTACTAATAACTTGTTATACAACTGTAAATAATATAAAAAATATTAAAAATTAATTTTAGGCAAATTTTTTTACACATTGTTTATTTTTTTACAATCCAGTCATTTTGACTGCTTTTAGGGAATATAGGCATATACTAAGTTTTTGTCTTTTTAGTGTTAAAGATAACTTATTAACTCATAACACGATGCAAATACCTTATTTTAGAATAACAGCAATCTGGAAAAGTCTTTTAAATTGACAAATATTATTTGCAAGAGACCTAGATTTTTATGTTTGAAATCTCATGTAATTACAGATTTTTTTAAGAACTTAAATAATTTTTCTTGATCTTTTTACATCCAATATTTTTAAAAAATTTTACCTACTGAGCAACATGGAAAGGATAACTGATGTGAGCCATGGCTCAAAAACGTAAAATATTTAGCCGCTGTAGCGAGACAACTTACTTTACTATTATGTTTCCTGATAAAAACTGCTGGTATTTTTCCCGCAAAATTATGTTCGTTAAAATGATGCAAAAATTATATACATGTACTTGCAGAATTTAATTCAAAATTTTTTCGACCATTCTTAAATAAAATAATAAATATTAACTAAAAGTTATTTTTTGCATGGAATTATCTTAGGATAACAAAATAATGCTTATTCTTGGAAAATGTCTAAAAATGACGCAAATACTTAATACTCCCACAGGTCAGGGAGAAAAAGGAAAACCTGGAATTATCAGGAAATTTTATTTTAACTCTAAAAATCAAGGAATAGTCAGGGAAAGTTGGAATTTATTTACAAAAACCTAAAAAATTCCTGTGTCATACCTTGAAAATAACCAGTATTAAAATTGTCAATAACAGTAATCAGTTATTGAGATTAGATTTAAATAATATTAACATCTATTACAATTATTTTATAAAAATGTAACTTTTTAGTGAAACTTTTCCATGTTTCCATTCTCATTATATTATATGATTTTGTTCACAAAATCTAATATTTGACATTAGAAATAAAGCAAATGAAAATTTGGTTATTGTATAGATAAAATATAGTATGGATTTTCATTGAAATTTACCTAACATACCTGGAAAAGTCAAGGAATGAAATTTAATGGGTATCCTGCTTAAGCTTTTGAACCATTCACCTCAATCTATAATTTTATCAAAGATGCATAGAAGACTGCAATAGATGGTGAGCAATTTATAAAATTTTTTTACAAACTAAAGTAGAGTTGAATTATTATAGTGTTGTAGTGACATCATATCAATTGAATAACGATTTGTGTAAAATGTTTCTAGACAATACCATAGCACCTGCTGTGTTTTGGTTTACATCCTTATTTTAAGTGGAAATTGAAATAGTATACTTAAAATATATACTTTTCTGAACAGATAATAATCTGTGTCACAGACAATTTTTGCATCAAGATATTCAACATTTATTTCCTTAAAAACTAGTTCATAGAACATGTGCTGTTTATTTTTGAAAAATGTAATAATGAAGTGGGTTGATTCTATTTCTGAAACTCTGTTTCACTTCATAGTTTGGGAAAGAACCGGTATTCTTAATGGCCAATTTGATTTCACTTCATAGTTTCGGAATGAACCGGTGTTCTTAATGACCAATTTGATTTCACTTCAAAGTTTGGGAATGAGATGGTGCTCTTAATGGCCAATTTGATTTCACTTCATAGTTTGGGAATGAACCAGTGTTCTTAACGACCAATTTTATTATCTATTCATAATGCATCTATTGTATAAATTTTTTTTTATTACAACTATAGTTTTATTATTATAAACGAAAATTAAGAACCTAATAAATTTATTAAATGTGTCCTTGTAATTGATGCACATATCCTTTATATTTCTAATCTGTCACTTTATACAAACATAACAAAATCAGTAATTTAATGGTCTGACAAATATTATCTTCAATATTTAATAATTCAGATACAGTAGAAAATTCAAGGAAAAAAATATATTTATGAATTGTTTATATTTATTGTATTTAGCTTGATTGTGAAAATAAAGTGTATCTCAAAAGTTGTTTTAGTTTTATTGCTTTTTACTTCATGTACCATGAATAAGATAAGTAAAATGCATTTTAATGATACTTATTTAAATATTCCTTCAGTTAACAAAAAAAAGAATAAATAAAGCATTAGTATTAAACAAATAAAATATTAGTAAAAAATAAATAAATAAATCATTAGTAAAAAATTAAACAGGTAAATAGGACATAAGTAAAAGATAAAAAGTTGAATTGTTATAACATGATTTTAAAACACATATTAAAATTATTTAATTTCGTTTATTATTTCTATATTATCTCTTCATTGATTGAATTTAAAGAATAAAACACTTGAAACTCTCTGAGAAATTACATGTGTAAAATGGAATTCAATAGTTTGCGTAATTTGATGCAAACTATTAAACAATGCTGTACGAAGTTCAATAATTCATATAAAATTTTTATTCTATTGTAAAATCTACTAGATTTTTTTTCTCCCTAATTCGAATTATTTTGAAAGAGATCCACATAAAACATGAATACCATTTTCATGTAATTTTTTATGTTTTAAACTTTATTTTGAAATGTACACCAGTGAATGTCTGAATATTTTATTAAATCTAATTTTATAGTGTCCAGGTGTAATGGTTTGTTGGACGAGTGTCTTTGGCTCTGCATTTTAATAATTCAGTTTTGTATTTAATAAAGTGGTGTTATCAATTCAGAAGCCACTGTCAAAGAATATGTGGCTGTTTTGATTGAGTTAAACTTATCTTTAGAGAAGTTAGGGTCCTCCTATTTGTGTGTTTAAGGTCAATATTTTCTTATGTGTTTAAAAATAACTGTCGTCATCTAATTTTTTAAAATGTGCACATATTTTAAAAAAATAATTTTCAGAAATAAAATAATTTTATGAAAAAAATGGCAACTTTTCTATGGTTCTGCACAAAAAAAATAAATATTGTGTTTAACTGATGAAATTCGAATCATGTAGAAATCGTTCATTATCAAAGAAGGGCAGTTCGTGTAAATTGTTCGTGTTTGATTGAATTAAACTTATCTTTAGAGATGTTGGGGTCCTATTTGTGTGTTAAAGGTCAATATTTTCTTATGTGTTTAAAAATGACTGTCCTCATCTAATTTAAAAATGTGCATTTATTTAAAAAAAAAAAAATTTCTGAAATAAAATAATTTTTTAAATAAATGGCAATTTTTCTATGGGTCTCCACGAAAAAAGAAAATATTGTGTGTAAATGATGAAATTCGAATCGATAGCTTTCCAGGTATTATATTTATTTTATGTAAAGTTCCTTTAAGTGTTTTGCAAGACTTTCTCATGAAATTTTTAAAGAAACACTTCGTCGGTTTTCTAGTAACAGTAATGACATCAAATGAACTGCAGTTTTCTTCTTACTTACTTTAAAAACTTATTTAGTTTTCTATTCTACTAATAACAGAGTAGATAACTAAATAAGTTTTTCTTTCTAGTTGTGCGCAATACAAATAATGCATCCAAACATCAAGGTTTTCTGTTCGATATAAACATTTTTTGATCATTCCACTGTTCTGACAGTATGCAGTTGAACCTCACTAACGCAAACCACTTAACGTGAAACATTGCTTTACATGAAATTTGTGTTTGGTCCCGTGAGTCACCAATCAATTATTGTTGCGTTTAACATAAAATTTTCAAGCTGATTATTGCTTAACATGAAAAGAAACTGGACACAGCTCCAGATAATAAACTTTTGAATAAAATCCTAATCATTCATTTTGAAGAATGCTATTACTATATTTTTTCCTTTGTTAGAAGAAACAGATGAGCAAATCATTAAAATAGTAAAAATATAAAAATAAAATAGTTTAATTAAGTAAACTTATAAGCTTATTTTAATTTGTTTGGTTCATAATAGCGTTGTTTGCATGCATTAATGTAGCACATAACATGTATTAATAGTACGTAAGAAATTGTTTTCATGGTGTATCGGCATGGGTGCCACTCATCAGTCCTAAGGACTGAAATCAGTCTGGAGAAAAGAGCTGTGGAATGATTTTCTGTCCACCATTAAATATTTATTAATTTGTCTTTCAAATTAAGTTTTCATTCACGAATTATTATCTAAATCTGCTTGAGTTAGTATTTCCCCCCCCCCTAATATTTTGAGATAGTGGGCAATGTTAAATTAAGATTATTTTTTAAAATATCAAATTTATGGATCTATTACAAAGCATTACTGATGATGAAGTGTAAAATAAGTAGAAATATGGATGGCTCAAAGAAAAACTTGCTAGTGTATTTTAGTAATTAGTGTAAAAAATAAGTTTTTTTTAGCTGTAAAAAATAATGAAATGATGAAAAATATTTTTTTTTCTTCTTTTTTTAGAAAAATAATCTATCTTTGCTATAATATGTGGGCCATTCTCATGGAAAATGAGATACAAATTTCTGAAAAATTCTTCAAAATAGCGCTACACCGTTAATTGATCAAAATTGATTAATTGATCAAAAAACAAGTTCAGTCTTGAAATATTTCTGGAGTGGCACTCGTGATTTATCGGATAAGACGAAATTCGGTTAACATGAAATAACTATGATAGTGCCGCTGATTTTGCTTTAACGAGGTTAGACTGTACTTCAAAATCCATTTCAGTTTTATACTTTGTTGAGTTATTCAACTTAGACTTGGATCAAGATAAATTTGAGCAAGAGTTCGCTCTTTACCATGGTGAAAAACTTCCGTCATAAATATCCAACTGTGAATAATTAGATTATGCCTGGCCCAAAATAAATGAAAATACAGTT